ATACCCCGTCCGGGAAAGTCCATGAAGTTCGTAAACAGACCGTAGAACGTTGTAGCTACGTTCATTCAGTTCGCACACAGTTTAAAACCGATTCGGCAACGTTTTGACGATCACCAGAAAATTTTGAGCATGCTCTAAGTGCTGGAGGACCTACTCGTTCTAGTAGTTTCATGAAATTTGTAAACAGATCCCAAACGGTTCTTGTGGGTTCTTAGTACGTCAAATCTGTTCGTGCAAAGTTTAAGCCCGTTTTCGAGAACGTAGTGAGAACTAGTTTGGTGTGATAGTAGGGTTAGAATGCGATCCAGGCTAGTTCATGCTCCCTAGGGGATGTTTTTAATAAATAAGCTTTAATAACATTTTTGGGTAATGTTACAAAACTGCAAAATAAATTAGAATTGAGTGAAATTAACAAGGACTAATGTAAACAGGCTTAAAGTTAACACTCTAGATTATGTAGAATTGTAAGGATAGCTGACACTTTATTCAAATTTTAGAGAGAATTTGAGAAGACTGAGTATGACTCCATCTTTAATTACAGAAGATTTGAACACACCTGGGGTCATTTATCTTTTCTGGTAGAATTGATGCTGAAACATTGAGCTTTATCTTTACTGAGATATAATTCTTTGTTAGTCACCATGGAAACAAGAAAATAATTCATTTGCCTGAAAAATCACTATAGAAACCAGAAAATCATTCATCTTTCTGAAATATGAGTTGAAATAATTTTTGAAGTTTTACAAATTGGTTTGTAAGTGCTTTGTGCCTAAATGTTTTTCTTTTTGAGGATATGGGGATGATGGAAAAAGTTAACAACAGGATTTATAAAAGAATTCATTATAATCGTTATTATCGGATCATTAATTTAATCAACTTTCACGTGATTGCTTTACTAATGATAAGATATTACAATCTGTGTTCTACAATGTTTGATATGATGTAGCGTACCTGGACTCATTTCACCCGAGTTACTTTTATGAGCTCCTATGTTGGCATGTAACTCAGACTTATACATCTATTACCTTACAATTACATCTTCATGTACATGACTTCCCCATCTCTGATGTCCATGGTATGATAGAAATCATTTAACACAAAGGGCAAAATTAGAAAACACTAAATAATATAAATCCCTATAAATCATATGTAAATCTGTTTTTCATGATGTTTAATTCAGTGTTGTTGATTTGATCTTATTCAGTATTGGAATATACATGTTAAGTGCTAAGTGAGTTCTCCCTTACCTGTTAATTAGATATTGGAGATGCTACTATTTACATAAATTACCATGTTTCAAATTTCCATTTTCTCATCATGTTTATTCCACTCCATTTCTCTCTAAAATTTGAAAAAAGTATCTAATTTTCTTTCATTTCTATATAATTGAGAGTGTATACTTCATGCTTCATCACTTAATTCCTTGTTAAATTCACTCTTTTTCACTTTATTTCACATTCTAAAAAAGCCCCTCACAGTGTATTTGAACTAATTTGTAAGGCTTACTTTGATAAAGATAAGGAACTAGATGCTAATGCAATCAGAGTGCAATCTCACTGATTGAATAACTCTGTAATTAACAGAACAACCATTTACTTGTCTCTAATATTCCTCAATTAACCAATGTGGGTCAGAAATAAATCTTGAACTTATCTGACTTATCAGTGCATATATCTGTACAGTCCTAGGCATAGCCTCAAAAAACATAGATTCAGCTGTTTATATATGTATATAGATGAATTGATGATATCGCTCTGTGCATAAGACTGTATCTATATCTATATTTTGGTCCTTTTCATATTACAAACATGTCCATATGTCAAAAATTGGTCTGTTTTTAAGATCACACAAAAGCATTTGGTTTGCTCAGTAATGTTATTTTTTGAAACATTTAATGTTAAGTTTGTGTTCTACTGTTAGACATTTTGGTTCATTATTCGCATTGTACTTTTATTGTTCACATTAACTTTATAATTATATAAATTGAATTAGAACCCCTAAGACCTACGGCACCCTGGGAGATGTCAGTAAGGCCATGTATACTTGGGGCTTCTTCTTGTTTTGGCTTTGAACCTATTCTTTGTTGTCTTTCATGCAGTTCTTGGAACTTGATTGGTGACCGTAGGGTACATTCTTTGATGTTTCATCATTGTGGTATGATGTGGCAGTGTTGTTCAGAGGAGGATTAGTTTGATTGATCACTCCAGGCAATGTATTTTGCTGTTGGATTGTGGGAAGTTTCCTCCTTTATAAATGGATTAATTTGATGAGTGACACCTAGGATATATCATTTTTGTTGGATCATGGGAGCTAACCTCTCTTGTAAATAGAATAAATTGATTGGTGATTCAATGCTATGTCCTTTATTGTGGGTTCATGGGAGTTAACCTCCATTGGTAATGCATTGTCTTGACTTGTGTGAGCAGGGATAACAATGGATTGATTGTAGAGTTATGTTATTGAATTACATTGTTCTATAATTATCATCAGGAATCTAATCAACTAAATATGCTTTTTATTCATTTTCATTATTGGACTTTGTATAGCAATCATCTGTGATTATATAGCAACAGCGGAAATTCAAAACCAAATGGAGAAAATTGTTAGATATTGAAAAATAGGAAAAAATCACTGAAAGGTTTTGAAGTCATCTCAGAATGGATAATAGATGCTGTGAATTTATAATCTCCAGAAGGAATATTGAAAAGCACTGAGGTTTGAAAGTTGTTGTGATATTACAAAAATGGTCATTGAGGGTTACACAGCCTTGATCCTCTCTGGAAGAGAACTAAATGAAATCACTCACAAGCTTTGAAATAAGAGAGACACTGTTAAGAATGGTACTATTGTAACGTTTTGAAGAAGATACAAGGTTAGATAGATACAAGAGTTCTTGTTATTTTTGTTCACTTTTGAAGGATAGAGTCAACTCAGGCCAGTTGTTTACCACATCAAACGATGCCATTATGTTCAACCTATGTTCAACTACCATGTTTGTAACCTTTGGGACATAGCAATTTTTTATTTGTGGCATTTTTAGATTCTATCACATGCATTCCTTCTCTAATATCAAGATATTTGACTTTTAACTTTTTGATAATTAATCGAATTGAAATGCATACTGGGAATTGATGTTTAATAATGAGTGGAATCAGACTGAGATACCATCAGGAACATGGTCATCATTTGGCACATCATCCCTTGCTACATGATCGTGATTCTTAATATTCATGACGTTAGGCGATGTTTGGTCAATGAGACTATTAAGTGGACTTATAATTGTACTAATGGAAGGCTTAGCCATCTTTATGACATATTTACATGAGTTTTACATCTATGATGTCAACCAGACTGTTCAGGCAATATCTGCAAGGGGTATACAGATTGAGGGACTTGCATGAGATATGTAACATTCTCTCTGTATTTTCCCTCTAATTTCTGTGTATATAAAATAAATCTGCAAGGAGAGTATGATCGCGGGAACATGCATGAGTGGTACATTCTCCCTGACATTGTCTCCATTTCTCTGTTGATGTGTCTTCGGTGAATATAACCAGTATGACACAGCCAAAGATTCATAGCTCTGCAAGGAGAATGCATTTGGCAGTTGGTCAGAATATATATAAAATGCTACAGGGATAATTATGATTGATATTTTTAAATCTGGAAAATATCATCATGTTCTGTGAGCTAAGCCTGATTATGTGAAATAAGTACATCTTTATTAGTTTTTGATGAATGTCATATGTTGCATTATTATATAATCATCTGTATTATTGATTAAGGAACTTATATGAAGGATGTGGCTAAAATATTATTCTTACATTTGACAGTCAATGATTTTAGTATCAGAGTTAAGTGCAGGCGATGCTTTCTTGTAAAAACGCAAAATCTAATTAATGGAAAGGGAAGCCAAGGAGGCAATTTTCGATGAAGTTTATTGAATCTCAGTTATGTAGAAACACTTTTTGAAGAGGGTAACATTATTTTAGGCATGTTTAAATTGAGTGAAACCACACAGTGTTCGTTTGTTTATGGATCCAATGCAGCAAGAGAAGTGTTTAGTTCACCAAATGACCCATTAAATTCCATAGAGCTCTCCATCCTAAAACCAATGAGTCCAGTTATATGGTAGTGATGTTTTTCAAATGTAACATAGACTTCAATGAATGAAATTAACAAGGAATAAAGTCATTGGGTGTGTAGTCAATACTCTAAATTATATGTGAATGCAAGAAAATCAGACACTTCATTCAACTTTTAGAGAGAAATGAAGGGAAATGAAGAGAAATGGAGAGAATCATTTTGCATTTGAGACCCTGACCAATAGAGAGGTCTATAGGGGAGGCTGTATATTAACTACCTTACAAGTAGTCATCTAAACATGTGAGAAGTAATTTCCAGTTTAATGTTGCCACTGAAATCTGAGGAAACAAATGTTGCATTCTTAGAGTAAGCTACAATAGGAAAGGACAGCAGGGTCTGGTGTTAGGGAGGCTCGTGTATTAATTTATATATTTATTTCTCAGTGAAATTCCATCCTCGGACTATAGGATAAAATCCAGTGTTAGTTCGAACTAAATGAGGATTTGAAATCTGTGGATTATTTCCATCTGTTTTAGACTGGACCATTTGGTTGATTAAAATAGGAGCAATTAGTTCTGCGTGGACCTATCTATATATGAACCATACATTCATGGTAGGACGGAATTGATCCTGTGGCTTCAAGGCTGTGCACTCTCACATTCTCCTCAGATTAGACTCATTAGTGAAACTGTTTGTAGGCTCTGTAGTAGTAGTAGCAAAGGATGTATGTTTTGGAATCTTCACGTTTTTGTTTTAGTAAATAAACGGATATGTTGTAAGGGAGATAGCTGATAGATAGCTAACCAAGGAAAGGTAGGCAGATGTCGGTTCAAATGAGAGATTAAAATATCTCGGTGGTCATGTTTTAAAATACAAAATATGGTTAAAAATAGTGAAATTAGCAAGGAATAAAGTCACCAGGTATGTAGTTAAGACTCTAAATTGTCCGGAAATGCAAAAAAATGTAGTGCTTCATTCAAATTTTAGAAAGAAATAGCTTAAAAAAGGCATGACCACCAAGATGTTTTAATTAGGGTCGACTACAACTTTACTCCTAGGTTATTCCAGTTGGCAGAATTGGTGTTATTGTTTTGATGAACTGAGTAAGATAGCAGAACGGATATCTTGAGATATATCTGATACATACAAAAGTGTTATCTGAAAAAACAAAATATATTTGGGATTAACTGTGATTGGATTAAAATATCACTATGGAAACAGATTGGGTTTGGCAGCGGAGAGAGCCCGATGATTTGACACTTGGATCTCCGAACAAAGATCGTGATTCGGCTGACGGAAAAGTTGATAAAAAGAGTAAGAGTAAAAAGGAAAAGATTGACAAAAAGGATAAAGACAAGAAACTTAAAGGTGAGGATAAAAAACAGAAAAGTGGTGAAAAGAATCAAAAAAGTGAAGAAAAGAAACAGAAAAATGATGAGAAGAAAGTTAAAAATGATGACAAGAAAGTAAAAAATGATAAGAAAAGCAAAAAGGATCAAAATCATGTTAATGAAACAGCCACAGAGCAAAATAACACTATTACAAACACCAAAAAATCAATAAACAAAGAAAGTTCAAAACAGGCAAAGAAAAAGTCTAAATCAGTCGAACGAGTGAGACAATATGATCAGTCATTTTTGTCAGTGAGTGATACAGAGGCATCGCGGAAGAGTGATATTAGTACAAGTTCAACGGAGAGTTTCAGATCCTCAAATGTTGACTTGAAAGCATATACTGTATCACAGGCACAGGATTTATTCGGGAAACCCAAAAGTCCCAGGTCTACCGAGGATATACGTAATAGTAAGGTAGTAGAAGTACGACGTTGCAATGGCGATCTTTATAGCAACCAATATGTTGGGGCCAAACTAGCTAAACTGTCGCCATATACAGGCACATCACCTGGGGAACGAATAAAAAACAATAGTAGTTATAACAGCAACAGTTTGTCAAACTTGAAGTCAAACAACATGAACCATGCGAGTCTACCAAAATCACTGAATGATTCCCGTGGTAACCAAAATGGACACAATAGAAATGTAGCTCAAAATACTATGGATGGGACGGGAAAATATGATAATGTGAACCTATTACCCGCTGCCAGTGACGGAGCTATTAGCAGCCCTAATGAGAAGGTGACACCCACGAAGACCTTCAACAGTGACTTGCTGCTAGCCAAGAAGCCAGGATCATCAATGGACTACCAGTACTATATGAAGTACTACCAGACATTGCCCAGGAGGAAAAAGGTTAAAGAGGTCAGTATCATAATAAATGTACATTTGCTCTGCTTTCTAATTTCTCAGAAGTATTTAGAATGTGTCTTCTAGAGAGGGTACTGGAATATACTTTTGAAAAGAATAGATTGTTATTACCTGGTATTACAAGTGAATATCTAATTATACCATTTGATAATGAGTAGAGACATGGTACTTCAGACTGGAGGTTCATACTACATGCAGTCCCTAAAAGCCCCATCCATTGCCTTCTTTCTCACCAGTTTCTCACCATGTTTACCCTTGTGAAAGATGTAAAAACAATCATGATTTGAAACTCAAAATTGAGATATAAAGAGTGAAATCAGCCAAAATTAAAGTAGACAAGCATAAAACCAGTACTCCCAATTGTACAGAAATGCCAGGAAAGCAGACACTTCTTTCAAATTTTGAAGTGAAATGAAGTGGCTGAGCAGACATTTTTGCCCTGAGAGCTCATTAATCACAGCTTGTTGATGAGTTTAATTGTGTTACCTTGAATTGCATCAATCCAGGTAAGAATCTTAGATAAGTAAACACACCAGTTTGATTTACCTGATTTGTTTATGATCTCAGGATATGTTGCTATGGAAACCAAGATTGGCTACCATGGTAACTGTTTAGCAACCTTGAGTCTGAGGCTGCTATAGAGATGAACAATGTGTTCCTCTTCCTGGCCTAATTGCTGCCAGACCTAATCAGGCCACTTCTGAAGTTTTATTAGCAAGAGGTTGTTTTTAATAGATTATCACTTTAATCTGGATACTTTATAGCCTCCTAACATGGCTGTTATCAAGCTTAGCCAATTAGTTGGAATTTCCACATGTTGGGGGGGGTGAATATTTCATAGTTTTCATATTTGGTTCAATTTTGAAGGATAGTCACTTACAATTAGGAAAGGACGATTCTCGGTTTGGAGAACTGTCTCCTGGGCTAATAATTTTTTCATGAAAAATATAGAAATATTACCCAAATTAAACTATGAATATTCAAAAGAGGACATTGAAATCTACAAGATGTAAAAATAACAAATTGGTCTGAAGCAGGGATAACGCTCAATTAGACCGATTCAATAAAATACAAGTCTCGATTTGGGGAAAAAAGTTCATAAGTGTACTGTGCTAATATTTTTTTGCGAAAAATCTAGAAATATTACCCAAATTAAATTATGACTATTCAAAAAAGGACATTCAAATCTATATTATGTAAAAAAATCAAATTTGTCCGAAGCAGGGATAATGCTCATTTAGATTGATGAACTTCGTTCTCCAAACCGAGAATCGTCCTTTTAGGTTAAAAACAACATTTCTTGCAATTTATCAAAAACTGAACACTGAATATTTTTTCAGTTCAGGTCAGTTGTTGAAAGTTTACTGATAGATGGGTGAGCTAGTGACAGTTGCATTCATCACTGTGTTGAACCAGTCCTGAGTGTGTATCTCACGAGAGCTCTGTAATGTTTTAACCTGGATACCTGGAATATATCAGAACTACCTGATAGCTACATGACCCATCCTTGGGGGTTTATTATTTACATGTACCCTTAGCAAAAGTTTGATTTTACATTTCAAAAAGAGGAGTTTAACGATAGAAGTGTTACTGATAGCCTTCAGAGAGACTTCCATTTCTGGGTATTTTTGTACATGTTTTTTTATATTTTTATATTTCTTTTGCCTGGTTCTGATACAGTCTTGCATACAGACCCAATAAACAAGGTTAATAAGGCATAAGTGGCCCATATTAAAGTTATTTAGGAGTTAAATGTTAATTTAAAGCATTTCTAGACTGGGTACATGTTAATGAAGACCTCTGGAGGAATACTTGAATACCAAAGGTCTGATGAAATATGATGTATATTGTATATTCCAGGAATTTAAGAAATAAGTTAAAATATGTGCACTTTTATAATAAGGTCCTTCTGAGGAATTCAATAATGATGCAAGTTACAAGGTTCTTCATTTTTAGGAATCTTTTAAAGTTCTAAAAATTTCAATGTTGCTCAAAATATTCTAAATTTTCATTATTTTCTCGTTCTAAGAATATGCATATGGATTCTCTGGGGGAAGTTGTTAAGGACATATTTCATTGCATTGTATCCAGTTTTTACCTAAATATAAATGTTTATTAAAATATGTGCCAACAGGCACTTGGGAGCTTTTCAAACATAATCAATCATTTCAAGCTTAAAGTTATGTTACCTTATCAAATGCTACAATTATGCTACTCATTTTTGGATATCTGGTATTGAGTCACAGATTTATTTTCTCAGTATTGAATTAAATATTTCAGTCCAGTACACAGACACAGGAAATTATACAAGTTAGATAATTGTGGCAAATGTAAATGAATGAATAGAGGGCATGCCTCAATTTTTATTGAGTTCTGCGAAAGAAATAAAGATGCATACATACATTAATTCTATATTCTACAGAGATAATACAGTTGAGAGAGGTGGCGATTTTATATCTGACTATATCACATTAAACATTGATAATATTCCAGCAAGTTTGTCTGTCTATTTGTTAGATACATGTTCCCAGATGGTCTAATACCCCCCCCCCCCACATTTAATCGTTCATTCCCGAGTGTCAGTGCCTAGTATCTGAGGCAAAATCAAACTACTACACTAAGTTCTTTTACACCCATCCATGTGTTCCATTGATGAGCTATTTTTATTATGTTCTCACACATTGGATAAATTTGTCTTACCATTTGTTCTGGTAAAGAGTGATATAGGTGAATATAATCACTGGTATATCCTCCCTGTTTTGTAGTTGCTCTTACTCACCTCATTTCACCCAGCTGTTGCTACTCTTCACTTAAGCCAGTAGATAATGCTGATGCTGATGTGTACCCATTATTTAAAATATAAGTTTTTCTTGGGGTCAAAATATTGATATCTGTCAAAAAAGGGAGTGATAGTATTTATCCCCTCACCGAATGTAACTAATTACATTTATTACCTGATCCATGAGGGAAGGCATGGAAATTTGTTAAGTCTTTTCCCAGAGGGAAACTTCTTATCATTACATGTTTGTCTCATATAGAATGTGTGAAAATAATATGTTCTGTTTTAAAAAAAAGTTTTATATGAATATTACAGCATAAAACAGTACAGTGAATGAATTTGTTTTAGTGATAGAGAGTTCAATAGATGGCATGAAGATCCATCGGTTAAACAGGATTCTGATCAGGTAAAAAAATTCAGTTGGACGATGTTCTACCTAAAATGTACAAATAGGCTCTTTTAAAATCCCCAAAGGATATTATATTATATTTTATTAAAGGGGTAATGATGATAGATATTCAAGTGAAGATTGATGGCAATATAGCAATGATATGATATCCCATCAGCTGTTATCCCCAAAGGGGAGGTAAGACCATCCCAGCATTCATCTAACCAAGGGTTATCTCTTCTTTGAGGTAAAAATAAACAATACCATCTGTGAAGGTCAGGGTGGTCCCTTGGTTTTTAGTATAAAAAATATCTAAGAAATTAGGAATTGAATTTGAAATTATGATTTTTACTGTAATTTAAAAAAGACAGAAAGATAATAAGAAAGTCAATATTATGAAAATATTTTACAATCAACTATAGTTATTAAATATAATTGGTATTCATAATAAAAGTACATTGCATGCTAAGTATGATGTTAATGAGGTTTAACTGACATTCCAGATGATAAGTTAGGTTTCCAGATGTTATGTTAGGATTCCAGATACTATGTCAGGATTCCAGATGTTATGTCAGGATTCCAGAGTTGTTTTGTTATAAAGCATTTTTAAGTTATGGCTTGATTCATCAAGGTATGATAAAAGCAAATAGTTTTGTATAAGAATCTGAAAATCTGCAGACCAATAATAGGTTAACTTGTGGTTACAGAGGTAGAATTCTTTCAAAAATCAGTAGTTTTTCACCATTCTGAATTTGGGCCAAAATGGTCAAATGTGAACCCTCCCTAGAATTTTTTAAAAAGTGAACCCCCTCCCTTTGAAAAACCTGGCTACGGGCCTGCCTACTCAACCATTGTGAGTCATTTTCTATTCTTAACTGGAGCTGAGCTATCTCTTCTACAATGTACACCTGGCGAACATCTTAAAGTCCCCGTCTAAAGTTTGAAAATATTTTTTTATCATTCATTTACTATTTGTCAGGACTTAAAAAGTGATTTTAGAGATTTTTGAACAAAATTTTTTTTTTGAAAAAAAAGTTGTGAGCATTTCATTTCTCAAATATTCAAATTTCCCGCCATTTTTCAAAAAAAGTTGAAATTTCTTAATCATCAAATATTTCTTAATGCATTTCAAAAAAGATTATCTTTTTAACACCAATGCAAAGATTGAACAAAAGACACACTATTTCAATAATAAAATGTCATATTTAATGGGCCACTTCAATGTTTTAGCTTATCAAAAATATTTTGAAACATTAGTGATGTCACTAAGGTAACAAAAACTTTTTGAAAAAAATTGAATTTTTTTTTTCGATGTCAATCTTTTCTAAATATGCTAGATTTTCATAAAAAACCAATGTTGATTGTCTAACGAGGTTAAAGGGAAGAATAAATCATGTTTTAGATATCATTGTACCATTGGTTTCTATGAGAACTAAAACTTTGAAATGCATTTTTCTCAGAACCATTTTTATGCACTGATAAGTTCATTTCTCGCTTGTTTATCAACCGATTTTCTTAATTTTTTCGGCAAAAAACATGGGAGGATGAATGCTATGCATTGGTATGAATTGTGGCTAATAAGAAGATATGAGTGACCTCTAAAAGTTGGTTTTAAATAAATTCACAAATTTTGGAACAAAAAGTCTATCAAAAACCACTTTTTGAAATTTAAAAAAAAAGTTTCACATATCACACTTTGAAAACATTGGGTAAGACTACAATATAAGCCAAAGTGGTTTAAACTTTACATGGGGCCTTTAAACATTCCCTTTATCTAAACATGTTCCTTGCCAGAAGTCTGCCTTGTAGTATCCCTCCATAATTTATCATTACATGAATGAATATATACAACCCACCTTGATCTTTCGTGAAATAATACAAAGAAAATAATGGATATAACCTTATATAAGAGATCATAATTGTTTCAGTATTTCATACTTAAGGGCAGTATCTCGAAAGCTCGTGATAATTAGAGGCATTTTTGCTTATAAATCAGCAAGTTTTATTGGCAAAGGTAACACATAGGTTTAACACATGTAAGGGACTGTAGATGCATCTCACTAATTGTTAAGTTGTTAAATGTACAATTTTGGCATACCACACCATTCCTCTTTGAAAAGTTATCATCACAAATTCATTTAAGCCAGAATTGTACAAATATGGGAAGAATTTAGCTTTGATATATGGAGTAATAGATTTTGGACTAAGTACCAGAGATGGACTAAGTACTTTATTGAGAAGGTAGTTGATTCAACACTCGATACTCACATATTGGTCAATTCATACTGAACAATATTGTAATTGAAGTTTTGTTATTTAATGACAAAAGAAACACCAAAGTGCAAACTGAAGAAACTACAAAATGTGTTGTTGGTGGTCTTACAACAAAGAACCACAAACTGAAAATTAAAAAGTATAAGATATAAATATATGAAATAGCTTCATAAAATCTTGGAGTATTTCCCATTAAGGATTGCTGTGTTTAGTCTCTCCATTGTTTTACACAGCTTTGATACAGACAGGATGGGTAACCTTGCCCCAAGGATGTGTATGTACATTTATGATATATCTGACTGAGATATCAACATAGGAAACATTCATTTAAATGTAAAATAAAACTGCTGACAGTGCATTATATTGAGATATGTTGATGAACTGGCATTTAGAAGTACCATTGGATAAAAATTAATTTTTGTGATATTCACGTCATGAAATGAGTTGAAAATAGAGGAATCAGAAACCGTGTAAGTTAATATGGATAGCATTAACACAGAAATACAAATTGAGGGAATCGGCACAACCAGAAATACATAAGTCATAAACAGATTACAGTGATCTGTTTTTACTGATTATTTTGATTATATTACTAGTATTACTAGGTATGACTGGTAAATAGGCTTAGGATAGCTCAATTAAAGTAGATAAGATACATGATACAGACATGTATCCTACATAAGTGACTTAAGTTAGCAACATTCTAAAATAAAAGATCTACAAACAGTGAAGTTCAACTCTTTTATCAACAAAATGTTCTTGGAGATGGAACATTCAAAGTGAAAGGTTCACGATGATGGGTTTGGAATATCTGAATTACTGCAACATCAGTTCATTTTTGGAACAAACTTAAATGATACAAGCTAACAGAAGAAGCCTAATATAAAGCTTTGAGAGTCCTGTTATATTCAAGGAATAATATATAGATGTATATACAGTAAAACCTGTCTAATCGGAACACCACTGGGACAAGCCAAAAGTCTGGATTAGCAGGTGTTCATTTCAACATTTTCTTAATATGTAAGGCTATTAGGGAGATTGGGACCGAGAATAAGTGTTCACATTGAGAGGTGTTCAGATATACATGTTTCATGTTATAAAAACATACTGGTATAAATGTACCCTGAAATATAGAGCCCATTACAAGATAACGTAGCGATTAGTGAACTCAATCTATTGAAATAGGTGATACATGTGGATGATATGGGAGAAGCATTTGGAAACATTTACAAGGACAGGATGGAAGTATCTTTGATGATATATGGTTCAGCATCATATGATACATTGATTACAACACCAATGGTAAATCTTACCTATCTTCTTATATACATTTGCTGTTAAAACTTTGCTCTAAAAATGAGCGATCAGTAAGTTTTATGCTTTTTCAGAGTGTTTGTAAGCAATGCATCTGGTTCAGTCATATGGCCATTTCCATGTGTATTCCTATAACATAGAATGTGTATATTTTGGTTGGAGTATACAGGGGCTTGAAACAGGACTTCAACTTAATAGCTAAAATTACATGTATTACTCATTCTAGTTAGCATAGGTCTGTATCTGACTATATAAATGACTTATCACAATTTAAGTAGTACCCAGAAGAGGTTTATAAATATCCTGTCAGTCAAATCATGGTAAAACATTTTCCAGAACACAACATTTATTGCAAATTATATTCAAGACTGTAAGCGTAAAAAATGAAGTACTTTTAATTTGACATTAATGAGGTTAGTAGTCAATTTCTTATGGGACCAGTGACTCATTGTGACTATTACAGTCCAGTGCTTAGCTGCAATAACTCAGCTTAAGGTAGTTCTGCACAAAAATTTCATAAAAATGCCTATCTGGGATTTACTTCTTTTGATTTATATGTATCGTTAAATTAATAAATGTGTTTTCCTATTAGCTTTGCGCATGCTAAATATGGAAAGAAATATGACAACACCACGAAAGAACTGTTTTCTAAGATAGGTCTCCTGTATATTCCACTTACATTTTATTAAGTCTAGCATGATGCCCCTCGACTCGATTTACTTCACACATTTTCCCCCCATTCTGTGTGGGGGGGGGGGGCTGTAGAAACCCATGTTAGGGGCTAGGGGCTGTTAGGGGAAGCCTTGAAGTTAAGTAAGTTCGTGCATTCTGGGTGGGGGCAATATTGAATGAAGATCCAGAGACAAATGCAAGACTCGATTTATTCAGCTGATTCATGTGTTTTAACATCAGTAGCAGATCTTAAAAACTACAAAGGGGCTATGTAGAAATCCATCTTAGGGGCTAGGGGCTGTTAGGGTGGGAGAGGCCTTGAAGAAAGGCTGTAGAATTAAGTAAGGGTAAACTAAAGTTTATAATGACATCATAAATAATATCTTAAATTGATGAAGTGCATTCTTAGCCAGAAACACTTCAAAGCATAAGTTGTGATTATTTCTGTATAAAAATACCAAGCCCATGTGTGAAAAACTGGTATATACCAATAAATAAATACCAGAATACTCCATTGTTTATTAGAGATTTGGTTTATGCAAGTAGATTGATATTTTACACATGGTCTAAGCCAGACATTATTCAGAACATAACAGACTCATATAAATGAGATTTCTAATACAAATTAACACCCAAATATAACTCAGGTTAATGTACGGAGATTGCTGGTATTATAATAAATTCTGTTATATGAAAATTAATTAAATTTCTGAATTTATTTTTACATAAGTGACCAATCTGAATTTATTTTTACAAAAGTGTCCACTCTTATATTTTCAGACTATTGGTACGACTCCTACCCCAACTGATAACCAAGATGAGAAACTCCAACGCATTGAAAGCGAAAAAGAGAATCTCGTCCTACAAGTCTCCGTCCTCACAGATCAATGCGAAGCTGCTACAGAGAAAATTTCGGAGCTTGAGAAACTTGCAGCTGAACGCCAGGAGAGACTTGCCAAGCAGGAAGTGGCCATTGAACAGGTAAGACTAATGCATCAAATAGTGCATTTTACTGAATACAGTAAAACCTGTGCAAGTGAAATGTATTTGGTACATCGACATATTGTTTCACTTGAGAGGTGTTCCACTCACAGATGTGCATTAAGTTAATGAGTACTTCACGTACAGGGAGTAAGTCACCCCCCTCTAATATTCTCTATATTCAAGTTCTGATATAGAGAATATAAGGGGGAGGGATGACTTACTCCCCATGGGGTAACTGGACTTCAAAAACTCTTCCACTTATGGATGTGTTTAATTTATAAAGGCGTTGTACTTTACAGGTTTTACTGTACTGATTTATGACTTTTGTGTGGTACAGTGTCAATGCGAACACCACAAAAGCAGTCCATATTTTTGATTTGTTTTACTGGGAAATCCACCTAATTTCTGACAAGCAAAATAAATGAAAACACCAGGCAAAATTATTGAAACAGTTTTAAAATTCCTTATGATAACAGGCAAATAAACAAAGAAAATCACCTGTTGCTTGCTGTTAATGAAACACCTAGAAATTGATCTAACTTGTATTTATTCGTGGCATTGTTTAGTTACTATTGGACCATCTTTTAATTTCTGGAGGGATTCTCTTAATTTGTATCTACTGTACATACATAAATGAATCTCTGCACGTATAACAAAAAATATTGTCAATATAGTTTCTTTCCTTCACCGAATATTGTTCAAGTTTTATTGGAAAGGTCTGTTGTGCTGTTCGAATGAGTTTCTTATGCACTTTTAATTTACAGTCAGTTTTATAGATGGCAGCTGTGTAGTACATGCACATCATTAGGGACCTTGGAAATCACATTGGATCTGACTTATACCACAATACATATAAAGCCCCTATAAAAAATATGTATAATATATTATACAAAATTTGGGATATCAACTTAGTAGATTTATAGTATTGCGTAGAGATGTCATGGAAAAAAAAAATCGGAACGGTTCGGTTCGGAACATTTTGCTTCGGAACGGAACAATTGGGGAACAGTTCGGAACAGAGTGACTGCGTGTATAAGATTAAAATAAGTTGATCATCAAGGTCTATTTGGTAGCGAAAAGCTCTTCAAAACTCTTCAATGAGAAGGAGTGAAAAATATTGGTGCAAAATATTGAAAGAAAAATGCTGTTTTGTGGCGATTTAAGGGCCAAAAGTTGTGAAAGGGTAAAATGTTCTTGTTCCGGAACCGAACCGAAATTCTCAATTTGTGTTCCGTGTTCTGTTCCGAAGGCATAATTCCGCGGATCGGAACAAAATCGGGTATCCGTGACACCTCTAGTATTGCGCCTACATTAGAAAATTTAATCTAAAAGCTTTTTTATAGATCGAATTGAGCTCTTAAAGTGGCATATATTCTTTTATACTGTATATTAGAATAGGGTCAAATATTGATTTTTTAATTGCCAATACTCACGACAGATCAAAGTTTTATAATTACAGAATATCAAATGTCTCATCTTGTACTAAATGACCTTCCATATCATTTTGTCAGCAGTTCCAGAATTTATGTATCATTTCAAATATGTTAGCTAGCAGGCTCATAATTCATCATCGATAACTTGTAATTCAACATGATTAGTTATAAGTTAGCAGTCTGTATGGTGATCAATAGCTAGAGTGTCTATGAGGTTCTTATGTATAGATTAATTAAACATTTCAGCGTTTTATATCCTGGAACTATTTTTAATGCTACGTAAAAAGGAATTTATTGTTAAAGGTATACAGGGAAATATATGCAATTTGACAGGTATATTTGTATACCAGGATTGAAGGTTAATTAGTACCTTTGGAGAGAGCTGGGTGGTTTTATGCCCTACTATTACTACCCTTTGTATTCCTTCAAGTTTATAACTAAACTCTAGCTATTACAGACAGTTTAAGGAGATATCATCATATACTTTATTGTTTACATCCCAGATTTTGAACACCTGAAAGGGTCAATTACTCAAAATTTTGAATAGCTTTAAATGTGACCAATATGTGATGTAGATAGTTAGCAATGTATGGTTAAAGTAAAAACAGGTATATATGAACACCTGTTAAAGCTCTTACCCCCCCCCCCCTTTTGTAGATTAAAATGATGGGCTACTTGAAATTTTAGCTCTTGCATTATCATGTAAGAACTTAGAGAATACCTCTCTCTAGTGAACACCTGTCCTGAGTGAATACTTTCCTTTAATATACTTAATTGACTGGTTATTTGACCCTCTTTGAAGTGAACACTTACCAACAGCTCAAACTTTCTTGTTGCTTCAAAAGTGTTCATATTTATTCACAGGTTTTACTGTATAATTGATGAGTGAACAATCTGTGTTGTTGATTGAAAGTTCATGATATACTTTGCTTTTTAACTGATGATTGATTGTCAGCCTGAATAGTAAAGTAAATAGACAAGATAGGAAAGGTATTGATTCGCTATTAAGTTTGCATCATGAACCTGGGGAGAAAATTAATGGAGTTGTGTTTTAATATTGCAAATTGAACCAACACAGAGTGGAATAATCAAGGAATGAAGTAAGTAACCATGTAGTCAATATGCTAAATTGTATAGAAATTCCAAAAAGTCAGACACTTCACTGATATTTTTTGATATTGGGAGTAGATAGTACCTGGGAACAGAGAAACCTTGGTACAGGTTGAGCAATTTATGTTTTATAGAAGAAAAACTTCAATATAGCAGCATGTACGAATATATAGAATAAGTAGCTAAAGATATTAAACAGGTGTGGTATAGCATTGTTGATTTCATCTCAGATGCATTTCTGCTATTGTTTCAACTATTGGCTATTAATAAAGGAATCGTGATAATTGTAGAATATAGCTACAAAAACAGCAGCAACTATTGTGTTGATAGAAACACATGATACCAAAGTCTTGTGGACCTCAAGCCATATGTGAGTACGAGTACTAGAATTTTAAGACAGAAGAAAATAAATTTCTGGTGAACATTCTGCAGCATTATACGGTCTATAAATAATATACTGTAGTTCTATTGCAAACTCAGACATTGGATGAATATCATTTTTAATATAACTTAAATATTGTGGATGCTGCAAATGCGATAGAGATAATTAGAACAGGATGTGTGTGATATAACAATAGACGTAATGGCAGTACAGTAAAACCTGTATAAACTGAACACCACTACGACCAGCCAAAAGTGTTCGACTGAGCAGGTATCCACATTTCAAGGTTTTCTGAATGTGTGAGTCTCTTGGAGATAATTAGATTGGGACTGAGAATAAGTGTTCACATTGAGAGGTGTTCAGATTAGATTCAGGTGTTTGGATATACGGGTTTCACTGTTTATCGAGAATTCTAATCTGCTTAGAGGGCTTGAGAGTATAGAGGAGACACTCTGTTGAATATATCAATCCATTAATCCAATACCAAGAGAATACAGTATTATGTGGATTTCACGGTTGCGAGGAAAAGTATTCACATACATGTATATGAGTTGTCATCTTTTTTAGATTTGATTATATTGGATATATTAAAGAAGAGTTAAAATCTTATAAAATATACTGCAAAATATTATTAAATGAACATGTAGTATGATTTAGGATACATAACATAAATGACTTTGGATGGATATAATAAAGGTATTAACAAAAAGTAGAAGTGATGCGATGGTTGTCTCATAATTAGAAGGATTATAATCATATAATTAATTATACATATACATGTAGAATATGAAGATGGATTATAAACATGTCAATGGATGTTGTAATATGTGCAGATGAAATGTTTATATGCTGGTATCATATCTATGATACAACATGGAGGCGAAGTTCTGAAATATTACGTGAATTCATTAGACCATTGGATTAATTAACCATATTTCACAGGTAAGTTGTCATAATTATACTTAATGTTCATGTCATATATGCAATATATATATATTTATAACTCCATCAGTGTCTTGTGTCAAGACCCTGTAGCCCCCATTATCCAGCGACAGCAGCTATGTAAATTAGTGAAATACCCTTGGATCAAAGCTATTAAGGATTAGTCTTGATAAAAGACTAGGTTTTTCGCCTCCACATTGAATATAGTTCTTCATGATATCTGTCCAGGCAGGTGACAGATGTATTGTTATAGTCTCTTACTTTTTTGTCGGCAGTGTTCGGTGGTCGGCAGACAGTATCTGTAACAAATGACAGGTGGTGTCATTTTGCATGTTATTGCCTTTGGTGTTAAAAGTAGTACATGTATCTACCTCAATAAAACACTAAAAATGACCTCAGTCCAAAGATAATCTAATTTTGGAAGTATTGACCTCATCGTTTTGATTAATCCAGTCTCGAGCAATTTTATCAAGTCATAAATAATTGTATCAAGCCTTGAGAAAATTTATCAAGTTTTTAGTGATTATTATAGCAAGCCTTGAGTATTTGTATCTATCATTGAGTACATGTAATTGTATTCAACCATAAGTAATCGTATCAAGTCTGGGTAATGATATCTTGCATTGAGTAATTATACTTAATCATAAGTAATTTTATCTAGCATTGAGTACATGTTAATTGTATTTCACCATAAGTAATCATAAGAAGCCTTGAGTAATTATATGTAGCATTGAGTAATTTAATCTTGCAATGAGTAATTGCATCTAGTCTTTTGTATTCTATCTAGTCTTGAATAAAACAGCATGGTGATCCATGTTTTCAACATGCTTTTCAAAATGAATACTGGAAAAGGTGGGTAGTAGTCCCTATTTTTTGTGATGGTGGTTGACAAATGGCATCTGGCATTCAGCGTCTAACAAATGGCAGGTGGTGACATTTTGCATGTTAATGCCTTGTTGAATGAATACTGGAAAAAGTGGGTAGTAGTCTCTATTTTTTGTGATGGTGGTTGACAAATGGCGTCTGGCATCTTGCATTCAGCGTCTAACAAATGGCAGGTGGTGACATTTTGCATGTTAATGCCTTGTTGAATGAATACTGGAAAAAGTGGGTAGTAGTCTCTATTTTTTGTGATGGTGGTTGACAAATGGCGTCTGGCATCTGGCATTCAGCGTCTAACAAATGGCAGGTGGTGACATTTTGCATGTTAATGCCTTGTTGAATGAATACTGGAAAAAGTGGGTAGTAGTCCCTATTTTTTGTGATGGTGGTTGACATATGGCGTCTGGCATCTGGCATTCAGTGTCTAACAAATGGCAGGTGGTGACATTTTGCATGTTAATGCCTTGTTGAATGAATACTGGAAAAAGTGGGTAGAAGTCTCTATTTTTTGTGATGGTGGTTGACAAATGGCGTCTGGCATCTGGCATTCAGCGTCTAACAAATGGCAGGTGGTGACATTTTGCATGTTAATGCCTTGTTGAATGAATACTGGAAAAAGTGGGTAGTAGTCTCTATTTTTTGTGATGGTGGTTGACAAATGGCGTCTGGCATCTGGCATTCAGCGTCTAACAAATGGCAGGTGGTGACATTTTGCATGTTAATGCCTTGTTGAATGAATACTGGAAAAAGTGGGTAGTAGTCTCTATTTTTGTGATGTTGGTTGACATACAGCGTCTGGCATCTGGCATTCAGCGTCTAACAAATGGCACGTGGTGACATTTTGCATGTTAATGCCTTGTCGAAATGGAAAATTACAATGGTAAAGAATCATCTCGGGCTATAAGGCCTATAGATCTGTAAGGGGAATTGAACATGGTTGTGTTACAATGGATTTTTGGAGACTTTTCAAAATATAAATATGATATAAACTTTACCTCCATATTCACCTTTTGAATAGACATATATTTTAACAATGCAACCTTCATGAAAACGTAAGGCACAAACCAGTACTTCACTTTACCTATTCAAGCCTCTATGTATAAAAGGGCCAAAAGCAAACATGCGTTACATTCACTATTTTTATTTTTATCAAATAGGAGAACATATGAGTAATAAGAGACTCAGTTTTCATTTAAGGTGGTTGCGTTTGTATATTGAAAAGATCTAAAAAATATATCACTAAATTTACTGATTAAATGGGAGAACATTTGAGTAATAAGCGACTCAGTAACATTTAAGCCTTTAGCTTTACATATTGAAAAGATCTAAAAATATATATCAATAAATATCCTTATTTAGGATATAAGATAGACACTCTAAAGAGACAGCTGCTGAGTGATATTCAAGATGTTGATAATGATACCAAGATTGTTGCTGGGGTTATCACTTTTGAGTTACATGTTGACTGGGGTGTATACAGATGTCATAGCAACATTCTCAAATGCTCCAGGCGCCCAGAGATTCAAAGTGAACACAGATGCTCTGATACAATGTGAAGTTGAGGGTGATCCTACCCCAGGGAAAACATACGTTTATGAGGGATATAAACTGAATTCTGGGTCAAAATATAACATTCAAGAGAATGGATTGTTAGTGAAGAATATTCAAGCTCGTGACGCTGGAGTTTACACATGTAACATGACGCAGGTGCAGGATGGGAAAACCCAGTATTATCTGCGATATATTAATGTTAAGGTTATCATCATGGAGTGTGATTTCAACATAGATTTCTGTGGGTTTGATGATAATAAGATGCCAGGAGTTGCACACTGGAGGAGACATACTGGGTCTACGCCTACTTTGAGAACTGGGCCCTCGGGTGACCTTAGTCATTCTGGTGGGTATTATATCTACCTTGAATCAGATGATGTTAAACCGAATGGTGAAGTCGTACTCCGATCCCCAGAATTAGCCGAAAATGTTCGACGTGAGAAAATTGATATTGAGTTTAATTACAACATGTATGGTGCAACTATGGGGTCCTTGGTAATCTATGGGGTCTTACCAGATGAAAGTCGAGAACGGATCTGGAGTACACAAGGCAATCTACTTCAAGACTGGAGGAAAAAAGAATTGTGTGGATTAACACTGCAACAATATCGATACATTGAGTTTGTAGGCAAACGAGGCGAGGGATTAGAGTCAGATGCTGCTGTGGATAATATTTTGATAATGACGACACGGCCATTGATAGCTGAACCTGTGCCAACTACAACCTCCACCAAGGCTGTTCCAACTACTAAACCCACTCCCTCAGTAAGTGATCCGAATGTCTCTAGTACAAGCGTTGCTATTGAGAGGAATACCACAGCCAAGCCTACGTCACCTTCTACATCTGGGGCATCATTACATCTATGTGGTAAATATACGAGCCTGGCTGTGGCAGGAACTTTAGCACTACTGCTCAGTGCTCAGTACTCTGTGCGGCTTAGATGACAATATGCAATATTACCACATTATGCCCTCTTAATTTCTCAGTATCATTGTCAGGCCTCAGAACGACTTTATTATGCAGAGACATATCAGGATTCTAACCTAAACGCTAACAACTGGGACCAGAAGTCAAGGTCAACTGTGAAGTTACCATAAGGATAACAGTGAAAGGATATACTTTAAACTATTTTGGGACCAGAGGTCAAGGTCAATTGTGAAGTTAAGGATAATAATGAAAGGATATACTTTCAACTATTGTGGGACCAGATGTCAAGATCAACAGTGAAGTTAAGGATAATAGTGAAAGGATATACTTTCAACTATTGTGGGACCAGATGTCAAGATCAACTGTGAAGTTAAGGATAATAGTGAGAGGATACACTTTAAACTATTGTGGGACCAGAGGTCAAGGTCAACTGTGAACTGAATGATAATAGTGAAAGAATATACACTAACCTATTGTGAGACCAGAGGTCAAGGTCAACTGTGAAGTGGAGGATGAAGGTGAAAGGATATAATTTAAACTATTAACAGAATAAACAATGATGATATCATGGAGTCAGTAACATTAGGAAAAATCAAATATTTGGAATTCATATTCCCAATATAAAGTATAATAGAAGATGATCCCTATTCAATTTTGATGCAGAAAGAATTTAGTATACACAAACTCCCCTGTACAATCGCTATGCTGTTACATATTTGGAGGAGGGCAAGAAAACTGGAGTATTGGGACCTGAGATTATTAGCTTTAAAATGATGTATAAATTCTGACTAAACTCTTGGATGCTATTGAAATCAAGTTTTTGGCCTTTTTCTAGACCTTGGTCCCCAGAGTAAAGAATGAGTTCCAGAGATTTGATGCGTGACAAGAATTCTCCCATTGCAATAGAAGATTTAAATGATGCTACTAACTTTGACAATCATATAATATCATTCTTCATGTATTGAATTACTAGTGTTTACCTCGGAATTTTTGCTCAAGTGAGTGCAAATTTTTCATTCTCACAATTCTTTCCAAAATTGGTCAAAATATACCTTTTTATGTCATCACTTGAAGTTCTAACACAGGGTGGGGAATAGGAAGAGAAATTGGGACAGAACAAAGATACAAGACCTGTAAGGATGTAGGATTTCATAGCATTGCTTATGCATGAAACAACATGCTTATACAGGAAATAAAATTTTGTTAAAGAAATGCACATGTACATGCTTAATGACACAGAAAATGAACAATCAGCTCAATATTTTTTCAAATTGAAATAAATTCTAGAAAAAATACTGCTGTTATATCATTATATTGTTCTTGGCTCATCTGTTTTGCACCATAAACAACAGAATCATTGAATTATTTATCTTTATTGGTTCTCTGTATTTCTATATAGAACTAGGTGCTTTTTGATATTACGGAGGCAGAATACATTCTCGTGAAATATTAATGGAAGAACTTTTAGTATGGCAACTGAGACTAAAAAATTTCCCATGTTAAAGAATAATTTTAATAGATAAGTGAAAAAAATCAGAAAAAGATACACTGGAGAAACTTTGTGTGTAATAAAAGTTCACAACATGTGTCTCTTTAATTTGGCCTTTTATTGACACCCCATCTCCTCAGGAAGAGAAAATGTTAATTAAATGTAAACTTTTAATGATTTCTTTGCATAGATCACAACTGATAATAAAAAATATAACTAGAAATTTTTTTAGCATACAGGGTATAAGATATGGGCTTCACACACTTGAGCCATTCAGACATTGGATATTTGAAACTATGATGTCAAATTTGAAGTAATATTATGATGTCAGATTTGAAGTAACACTATGATGTGAGATTTGAAGTAACACTTTGATGTCATATTTCAAGTAACACAGTAATATGGTGTCAGATTTAATGTAACTCTATGGTGTCAGATTTGAAGTGAAGTAATGATGTCAGATTTGAAGGTAACAGTGTTTTGTCCATGTATTACAACTCAAGGGATCATCATAAGGGATATCTTAAGCATCAGCAAAGACATAATTGTAAGTAAAACACAACAGGTCAATGGGTTGAATATTTGGTGAAATATAATAATATAGTAAAACCTGCCTAATCAAATCATATCTAGGATGATATTGTTAAATACTTATTTACTAATATTTGCTGATCTATTCAATACAGAAATAAAAAAAAAATAACAATGAAATACTCAAATACTATCTCTAGTCCTAAAACAGAAAGATAAAAGTATCAAGACTGCAAAGTGATAATCCAAGAAAATTCAGAGTATCCAAATCAATTGTCTTTTGATGAAACATATAGCATATAGCTCAATTTATTGATTGTACAGAGAAAGACATTATCTCTCTAGGAAATGCCTCTAGTCATACCTATTCTGCTATGTTTCTCTCTAAAATTTGAATGAGGGTTTTAATTTTCTTACATTTCTATACAATTTAGAGTATTGACTACATGCCTGTTTATTTTATTCCTCACTGATTCCACTCTTTTTCACTCTATTTTGCATTCCAAAATATGACCTTTTTACATTTTTTTTGTAAGACACTGATTGTTCAGTGTGATGATGCTGCACTAAGAAAGATAGACAGCCACTTACACTACATTGTTTCTATAATCAAATTACTCAGGCGAAGTTGTAGTACAGACAACCTTCGCTACAAACCTCATTCTGGTCAGCGAGATTGTACTCCCATTTTCTTGTAAATCGCAGAAAGATTTGCTTGAATATCTGGATATTTTAGAGTATCGACATAACAACACAATTATTCTAATTTTGTTCAATATTGCACTTTGTTTTGTGTTGAAGAATATGAGCCCAATGTAGTTTTATTTACTGGTAGGAGAAGCTCATCTCACTTTAATGCAATTATGCATGACTGTATCTATCAAGGTTGCTCCACTGCTGCCGATAAACATGAAATAGATGTTTCATATTTTGTTGATGAGCTGTTATAGAATTTGAGTGTTTCATATTGGGATGTGTTTACCAGGTAAAGAGTGGTGTTTACCAGAGAGGTGTTTGCCAGAAGTATGATATTCAAAAGAGAGTTGTCTACTTGGAATGTATTCATTACAGTTATCTGTTTTTACTCCAAATAGGTGTTTGCATTATGTGTTTCTAACTGAGAGTTGTTTAGGGGAGGATTTTCTATAGGGACGATTGTATGAGAAAAATATATTTCTTGTTTATTAGAATTTGGTATTCAATAGAGGTGTTCTGAGTGTTCACTTGAAAGAGGTCTATTGGTGAGAGCTGTTCGCTTTAATGAGGTGTTTATAAGTGAGAGGTGTTCACTAGAAAGAGGTATTCATTTGTGAGATTTGCTCTTCAGATAGAGATGTTAATTATTGATTATATTTGATTCCTATTTAGTTCAGACTGAGATAGTACAGAAGAGGCCTTCACAGTAAGCTTCCACTTTATATGATAGTGACCTATGCCAGATTTGTATGAGTCACAGCTGACACTATCGGCTATTGAATCTTCTTTTTAAATCCATGACCAATTTTCGCCATAACTGATTCACTGTTCATTAATAAATAAAGTCCACCTAAATTGGGTTAAGAGGTTTAAGTAGCTATTAAATGAACACTGGGTGCTTGCTTGTGTTAAGTGATTTATTAGGTTGATTTGAATGATACCAAGTAGTATTACAAAATTGACTTGTTTTTGGTATCTCAGTGAAGTCTTGCTTCAAAACTGTGTACCCCCCCCCCCCATAAACTGGGAAGTTTAAACTGTTAGGAAGGTGAGGTACATGGGGGTATGCAGTCTTGAGGCAAGACTACTCAGTGAAAGGCAATAAGGGATTTGTATTCTATTACTTGGGAGACCTCGCCCTTTAGCTTGTGACTAAGATGAGGCTATACCTTCCCCCCTCGCACTCCTCCAGAAAAAATGCTATGCCCTCAAGTAAATAATACAATATCAAATGTTTCAATTGTTTACTCTCATTTTAAAACTAATTACTTTAGTTTATTTATTGGAATTGCACAGTTTATTTGCTAGGAAGTTATCCAGTAACAAAAATGCATACAAACTGGCAGAAAATATTGAGTTAGATTAACTAGTTCAATAAGCTTTACAAATATGAGTCTAATAGGAAGTGAAAGAAGTACAGGTCAAAGTTCACCAATTTACTTTGTGTGTTGAAAGCCAGATTTCCATTCTATTCATGAATTTGGAGTTTACTCAATGTAATGCGGATATTTTAACAGAATAACATTTGAAGATGGCCTACAATACCTATACTAACAACAACCTTCAGGTAAGGGTTATTTATTGGTGAAAATATATTACTTATGACACTTTTATTCAAAGTTTTGAACTTTTTCTCTCTTATTTTCAAATGTGTTTTGGATGTTATGTGTATAGAAAACTGTATGGTCCTGAATATTGAACCTAAATTTTGTCATGTTGTTTTATCTTCTGTGAGGAAGAAGCTACAGCACAAATTTGTGAAATTTTCTCTTCCTGTATTTGTTCTTATGACTTATTTTGAATCATAGACTGTAATGATCAAGTCTGTGAGGACCTGTGTAGTTGTCTCGGCTATTTCGTACCCTAATATGCTAGACTGAGGGTTGGTATTTTGCTATTTTATGAGCACCAAATTTTACAACATAAAGCATGACTGAACGTATTACTGATAGGGTGACATTGATATGTTGGGGGGAGAATGGCAAAGTAAGAGGCCTAGAGGCTCATTTTGCTCAAATCAAGACACATGTAATGAGATAAAGGCTATAAAAGAGACTGGGTAAATGGCAGGGGTGTTGAGATGAGCGACCTCTCCTTTAGGTGACAATTGGATGGAGTTGGTGTAGCCAGTTTACTGCATAACCTCAATAAACTAAAAGAAATCAGGACATGTGCTTAGTTCTCCGATTAGTGCAAGATGTAAGAACTGTTTTACATAAGATGATGTGTGGAGACAGATGTCATCATCAAGCCTCAACAGCTCAATTTCACTGATATTTTTAGTTGATGTGTTTTCTGGTGTCCTAAGTAAGTCTTGGATAATATCAGAACTTGATACATGTCTCGGAGTGAATTGTCTGCTACAAGCCCTTTTGCCCTCCCTCCCCCACTACATATCTCTCTCCCTGTATGAGGGGGTGTGCAGTCAAGTATTCAAAGGAGGGGGGGGGGGGTCACAAGGGCTTGAAGCTAGACTATATAGTGACCTGTATTATGCTATACAGTTCAGGGTCCTCTCCTTGATACAAGAGTGGTGTGTATTTACAAGAGAGTCATAAGAGAGGTGTCCAATGACCACACTGTTTATTTTTACACTTATAGGACATTTTTGTGGTGAAACTTCACTTTGGTATTGTGCATAGCTTCCTAAAAGGTCAAACACCCTATTACCCTTTCTTGACCAGCTCTAAATGAAAGATACATGTATCATACAAATGGAAGAAAGATTAGAGGGAGTAAATAGATTGTGATTTTTCATGTTCCATTTGTGTATCTGGTACATAATACACCTCTGGACTGGTTGAATGTGCTAATGGGCATAGCAGATGTTCTCATCAACAGGTCCTGTATGTTGGTAACTTTATATACCCAGGGTACCTTTACTGCTTGAGGTGTATACCAGGAACCCATATTAGATCTGTATACCATCAAATAATTTTTTATTTACAATATTGGAAATTGTACGACTGTTATCATAAAAATTAAAGCTGTTATCTATCACTGTAATAAGTAGGTGCTTGTCAATAAGTGATCTGTACTATTAATGGGCAATAATATCAGGGGAACTAGGGTTTGAATGAGGTGTCCATTTTAAATGGTCACTTGTCCTTGAGTTAACCTATATACCCGAGAGGCTGCTTTATTATGTCATGCACTGGAAAATCATCAATAATCACTTTATTTTTGTATGTTTTCTGCCATATGTTAATATGGTATATGACATGGTATGACTTATGACATTTTAGGTGTGACACTTTAGACTTGTTACAGCCATATTCAGACATTCAATTTTTGGTGTTTCTTGCAGAAAGATTTTTTATACAGATGTCAATTCAGTATGTTCTCAAGAAATAATTTTCACTAGACAAAGTTTGTTGTGTTTACTAAGACATGTTTACTAAATTATAAATGCAATGAAATTAAATAGGAAATATTGAACCATTTTACCATAAGTTATTGAACCCCCTCATGCAAGGAACTGGGGCATTCAAAGCAATCTAAGAAAACATATTGAGGCATATGCTGTACATATACCCTTAC